GATACTTGCATTTCGCAGTAGACCAAAGAGAAAGTCCAGATGCACTCCAAGTCACACAGCAAGGGAGTGGCAGAGAGGAGAACTGACCTTTCATCTCCCAGGTCCTTGGGGGGGCCTGTACTCATTATGCCATGATCCTCTGTGCTCTGCCCCTCATGGAAAAGGAAATGCTTGTGTCTCTTCCAGCTTTTTCTTACTGATCTCTTGCCCCTTTCTGACTGTTGCTTCGGAAGAGACTGGTTCCTATTGCCTCGGAGCTGTCAAGAGAAGATGAACTGCTCTCTCTGTACCTGAACTCTTTCCACTACCCACAGTTTCATTCACTTTTTTATTGCGTATATAACCTGTGCCAAGTTCTGTCCTTGGTACCACGGCAAAGGCAAAGAAGAATCAACTTGAGTCTGAGCCCCAAGACTGCCCTGGTGGCAGTGAGTTGTACAACTACAAAACAGCATGGTATCTGAAAAACTCATGAGACAGAAAGGGAAGAGACAATTTTTTAAAAGCCGCCATGGCTATTTCTGGGAGATGTCCAATGGAAGAGATGCAGAGTGAAGCCGAGCAGGCTAGAAGCACAGCTGCCATTAATCTGCCTTTCTCAGCCTCAGATCACCCAGTCACCTCTACCTGCCAGAGCAACCTCCCTACACTGCCCAACCCGCTCCCCTCACACAGATGGCAGAGATAGCAAAAGGCCAGGAGGGTGCTAGGAGGTGCACAGTGAGTGGCAGTTGGGGGGTTTCTTGAACCGTGTGTTTGTGTTGGTTTGCTTCAGTTCGGGTTGGTAGTAGTACTGCTTGCTTTGCACTTGCACACTAATTGCATGATTTTATGGAACGAATATTTCCTCATTGCCTCTGTGCAGAGCAATGTGTTATGAGATATGGTAAAGAATCAGGATGGATTCTGTCCCTTGATGTTTTAAAGAACACTTATGCATGCGTGAGCTTTAGTACATAGTTCAAAGTGATGAGAGGAGGTGGTGCTGTGGGTATCTGGAAAGGGAAGAGAGCGTTTCTGGCTAGCTGTTGAAAGGGAAAAATAAGGACAGGCTTTCAAAGAGGTAGCACTTGACTAAGACATTTCCTTGGGCATTATGGAGCCATGGAAGACTTTGGCGATGGGAAGCGAGGTATCAGTTGCTATAACAGCAGAAAGTGGACTAGATTGGAGGCTAGGTCACAGCTGCAGAAGGGCCCAGACACAGCAGCTAGAAGGGAGCCAGGACATAGAAAAGGCAGAGATGTCCCACAATATCTGGCTGGGGTGGATGGGAGGCTGGCAGTGCTCTGAACAGTGCGAGTGATCACAGGAGAAGCAGCAGTTTGCAGGGGGAGATGATGAGTTGGCCGGATGCTCTGAGCGTGACCTAGAGAGCATTCAGCTGCCAGGAAGTAAGGACAAAGGCCCTGCAGCCCGGAGGAGAGGAGCATTTATATTTATATTACATTTTCCAAGGGTCTCTGTCTTAGAGTTTCTCAGACTTGTTTTGTTTTTACTTAAACGTTCTAATTCCTCTGACTGTACATTTTTTTTAAGTTGGAAAACAGAGAAACATTAAGAAAATAAAAAACAAGAACGAAAGGAACACCAATAACTTAAGCACCTGAAACAAATAACTTTTTGGAATTTTTCTAATATAGGTGTGTGACATATATGCACACACATATGTACTCACTACTCACATACCCATACACTTTATGAAAATGATTGCATAGATGATATATGAACTCATGAATTTTTTTAGTATTATGGATCCCATTGTACATTCTATTTTACATTGCATTATTTTTAAATTGACATTACATTTGAACATTTTCCGTGTCTTTAAACATGGTTCCAAAGGCTCCAGGTTCCTAGACTGCTTAATATTTCATGACGTGAGCCTATCAGACTCTGAAGCACCCTCCTGTCATTGGACAGTTCTGCAAGACTATGCTCTGTGTACTCTGACAGGATCTGGTGTGATGGCTTTCTTCACATGAGTCTAGAATGGCCACTTACCCTTCCTCATCATCTTCTCTTCTTCCCACCACAATCCCTGAAGTTGGGGTTTTAGGAGGGAGTCAGCTTACTCCCCAGGAGAAGAGGTACTTAAGGGGTCAGAAGAGTTAATGCAAAGGAAAATGAACAGATTTACTTACAAACCAACTGTTTCTTATGTCTTCTTTACGTGATTCTTTTTTAAATCATTTTTTTTCTCCATCACCACGCCCAACACATTCATATACATGTAAAAGTACATACATTTATAGTACACACATACTATAAATCAAGGCCTAAACATGGGAAGTCTTTAACATCCCTAACTGAGATCTTTTTTCATCCTTCTTCCATATATACACTTTGCCTAAGATGAAAGTCCAGTGTCTCAAAGGCGAGCAATAGAAAGTTAAGTTTCGACAACAGAGCCTGCCCCTCAGTGACAGTGTGCTGAAAGGCCAAGGCCATGGCATGAACCCCAAGAGAGAGCAGAGCCCCTGCACAGGCATATGCATGAACAGGACTGGACAGAGCACCATTGTTTTGATATCCTTCTGTTTTCACAGGTGCCATAGAGTCATTTTATGAGTCTTCACTATGACCCATGCCATAGAAAGACAAATATAGCTATAGTTTTGCTGAATCCAGGTTTAAAGCTCCTTGTTTAAACAAAAACCTAATTTCTAAATCAGTTGAAAGCAAAGCCTAACCTCTCAAATTCTATACATTCCCCCCTTTTATTCCCTCTTTTTCATTTCTAGCCTGTCTCCTGCAACATTACTGCCTCCGTTTTAAATATCATCAGCTGATAAATCAGTTGGCAAAGAGCTGCAGCAGCTCATTCTAATACTGAAGATGACAAATTACAGCTATAAATTTTTTCAGGAGAGAAGGCAATGATATGCATTTCTGCAATTAGAAGTTGATGTGGGCATACTAGGGTTAGCTAAAATATTACTGCAAAGTCAATTTAATTTATTTCCTAATTACCTACTATTAGATTATGTTCCAAGTTATTAGAAGAACTTTGGAAGGGTGCATTTCATTAAAATACAGTTCTTTTAGAAAGAAAATGTCTAAATTATTGGACATAAGATTTATTGTAAAGATATCACACTCTTCCAACAGCAGACAGGATTAGAATTTCATATCCAATTTCTTGTATATTAGAAGACAGAAAACAATAGGAAGTTTCTCTAACTTGGAAAAACAGGGAGAAGAGCTTAATTTTGACATTCATTCCATTCTTGTGTTACATCTGAGAGATTTTGTGCTCCTTCAAAAGGCAACATTCAGTTTCATGAACACTGTTACTTAAGGGTACTACATATCCATACACCATGAAAATTGATTTATACAAATGAGTTTTTAAAAAAACTTTATTCATGCAAATAAAAATAGAAATGTAGTAATGTAAGATAAGTGAGTAAATTAGTACCCCAATTGTTGTCCCTCCTGGGAATAGAAATCTATCTTCATAGCTTTGTTTCTCATTTTTTTTCAAATTTAAATTATCTCATACATCCCCTTACTTTTCAGTAATTTCTTTAGGAATTGCCTCTTTATTACTTCCTCTTTGTTCCTTATAATATTCATTTCCTCATGATTGTCATTTAGTAATTTTTTTAATATTTCTGATCCACAGTATAACCAGTTCACTTTTTCTATCCAGAAGCTTTGCAAGCCATATATTTAAAAAAAAACAAAAACACTACATCATTTCATTTTAATATTTTCCATGTCTGCAAACAAAACCCTCAATTTATTTATCTAATATAAATATAAACATGTATATTGAATGTAGATATAAATATTTACATTGAATACAGATATATAAATATATACTCATCCATCCAGGAATTCATATAGAATACATGAGTTCCTTCAGAATTAAAAAAAGGGATTCTTTGTCATTTGTCACTTGCAAAATAAGCACCTGCTGCTCATATCCAATCAAGCTCTTCCCCAAGGTAACTCTGTCTCTCACTCTTGATGGAGGGTCTGTTATACTTGCTCTTTCATCTAAGATCCATGAGTCATATATCTTCCACAAGCTAGGGGACTCAGGAATAAAAAAGTCTTGCTAATTGGAGACTTGAGTTGAATTCAGTGAGGTAGATTAGTGTCATTTCTTGGAGTCCTAAAGGTCTCTGGGGCCTTCCACACAGCCTATCATATCATTCCTTATAAACCCATTAGCCATACAGACTATAGTGTCATTTCTCAAGGCTTCTTTAGTCTCTATCTGTAAACCGCACAAGGCTCCTAGGGCCCTAGCTATACTAACAACACTCATCACAATCGCAACCACCACTATAATAGCAATTAATACTATATCTCACACACACACACACAAAATTTTTCTTACTTATTATCTCATTTTAACTGTCCTGCCTGGTTTGGTAGGGATCTTGCTTTTGTTGCTAGTTGCCTACTTTATTCACTACTTCTCCTCCCCTTTATAAAGTAACCAAGTGGCTACTTTCCAGACATTACTAAAATCCTTAGATCTGCCAAGAGAAGAAACCTATTTGCTGGGTTATGTAGCACATTATATAGCATTGTCAACTCCCAGGTACATACTCTTCTATGCTGCTTTCTCTTTCATCATAAGTGATACAGTTACTGAAATTGCTTGGTGAGCATCTGGAAGTAACATTAATAATGATGATAATAATGACCTCATCGGATGTATAATTTGAGGGATTAGACAACATTTACAAGCTTATTGTGTCATAGTTAATGATGAGGTGCCAAGTTTTCTTGCCACCACCCTTCCCCATGGTATTTCCTGCTTGGCTCAGAGAACTATAGTCAACGGTGCCCTTTCAAAGAACTTGCCCCATTCTAAACCATATGGTAGCATAAAGATATTGAACTGTTTTTGTGTTGTTTTCAAGACAATTTATTAATGTTGTTTTGCATTTGTCTTAAAAATGTGTATAATGTAATTATTTAGTGTTTATTTTATTGTGTGTACCTTCTACTCAGAGGGTTGGCATTATTGTTCCTAACAGTGGCGGATACAAGCAGATCATGCCTTATGACCTCTACCATCCCCTTCCTCGGTACGTAAATCAATCATCCTGCTGCTAGAACTAGTCAATCCATCTTCTGCTTCTTTCGTATGTGCATAGAGATTTTGTGTGTTGTTTTTTTTTCTCCTGTCAAAATAAAATGGTAGATAGTATGTTTTGCAAGCCATCCTGAGCTCTGCTTTTGAGTAATCCTGGCCTACTCATACTCACACTGAAGCCTGTCGTTCAAAACCATTTTAAGATAGGCTCGTGTTACATTAGAGTGGACATAGTAAGTCACTCTGATTAGGTTCAGTGGATGGGTTTATGTTATGTCTCTCTTTTGCTCCCTTTGTCCTTTTATGTATTTCCTCTGCAATTGGACCCTAGTCACTAAAGCCCTGTTGCTAACTGCTACACAAACACTGCCTGAAGTATTACACAATACCATCCATGTGGAACTCCACATGTGGTACTTCTCTGAACAGGGGCTTCAGATATCCTCCTTTTGATTCAAAGGTATTATAATTAAGTTTTTAAAAAGGCAGTTTTTAAAAAAATATTCTTATTGTTCAGAAAACTTGATGGGACTTTGTTTTTCAAAACATTTTAAAATCCCATGTTCTGTGTTGCTTTTTTGAAGCTACAGTGGCTCTGGAAAACTAGGAAAAATAATGAAATTTTTAAAAAGAACGTGTTCTCTTTATTAATATATTTATAAGAAAACAGGAGAAGCTGAAAAATATGCTAACCACTGAGGGTATTATTAGCCACACTGGAACCAGCTTCCCAGACAGCAGGAATTAGCACTGGGCTTGAAATACCCACCGTGCGAGGAGAGACCTGTGCTCCATTCTTGGGGCTCACTGGGACTTCAGGGAGTCAGCCACTTTTTAGAACCCAGATTGCTTAACACAGATTGCAAACATAGTAGTTGAAAATAATGCACAGTAGTTTGCTCAGTCTCAAACTAAACAAAGTCTGGAATATAATTTTATTGTGAACTATGAAATAATAGACAAAGTTTGCTTAAAAATCTCCAAATACTTCATGAATTGGATTCCCAATAGAGGCATTTAGGGGCATCTAGTCCAGCTCTCCAATGATGCCTTATTCTCCCATTCCTTACCCAAAATCACACCAATCGTATATAGAGGCATATGTTTACACAAATATGCATATATGTGTATCTAATGCATATGTATTCACACATGTATCTACACACCAGTTGTGAAGCTACCTCAACAGTACACCAGTTTCTCATACACCAGTGCAAGTGGTCATCCAGTCTCTACATCAGTACTTCCCGTGATTGGCAGGGAACTCACTTTCCACCATTTAATGGTAGCAGCAGAGGAGACTTGATATTACATATAATTGTTTGTTTGTTTGTTTTTAAGTTCTTCCACTTACTAGTCAGCTCTCTCCCACGTTCCTATGACTATATTGATAAAGATGATAAATGACTTTAGAATGCTACCGATGTATCATTTTTGCTTGTTTGATCTAGAACCAAACTTATATAGAAAACTCTTCTTGAAAAAAAAAAATAAGAGAATGAAAATATAAAAATATTAATTTAGCTGAACCAAAACTTCATTTGATTTCAATTTCTGTATCTGTAAAGCAAGACACATGTATGTGCTTATGTGAAGGCTGTCTATTTCATGATAAAAGCAATGTTGGGAGTCAGAGTAAGTGAGCAACATCAAGTTTATATTTTCCCTGTAATGGCACTCCTAAATTTCTTCAATATCTATGATCTCTTTTGTTTATATTTTTGTGGTATGCCTAATACCTGTCTTAGGTTAAACTTGATTTCTTCTATATTTGGCTTTCCTCCAAACGCCTGCAGCCAGCAGCCTCAGTAACAGCTTCAGATAAGCCTCCCTGATGTCCGTTTGCACCTGCCCTGTGCACACATTGGCCTGTCCCTGCATCACAGGGAAAAGACAATTAGCAAATGGACTCTAGTTCTCATTTCTTGCACTTTGGTTACTGAAGTAATTCTAAAGTTAGATATTCTGCTTTATTTATAAAATCTTAGTAAATGGAAGTAACAGTGTGTTTTCATTTCATCAGAATTGAGGCTTAGAAAAGTCTCTCAGTTGGAAGCAGAAGGCCTCACTTATTGGAATTATTTAAATGGGTTTAAGACCACACTGTAAACACAAAACACAGTTAATGAATTTTTATTGTTTTGTTTTTGCTTTCAGTCTTTACTATAACACGTATCTGAGCAGAATATAAAAATGTAACCTGGTAAATTATTCTTCATTCATAATTACTGTGTACAACTTGCTCATATCATTCTTAATTTTGAGAATTTCTTAAACTAAACACACTGTGTATTTAAAAATTAAAAGCCAAAGGAGTCAAAATATATGATATATCAAAATTCATTTCTTATTTTTTTCAGGAAAAGATTCTTGGACATGCTTTTCTTTTTCTTTTTTAAATATATTTTTATTTAAGACAGGAAAGGAGAGGGAGAAAGAGGCAGAAACATCAGTAATGAGAGAGAGTCATTGATAGATTGTCTCCTGAATGCCTCCTCCTGGGGATCAAGCCCACCATCCAGGCATATACTCTGATCAGGAATCAAGCATGACCTCCTGATTCGTAAATTAAAGCTCAACCAACTGAGCCACACAGGTCAGGCTCCCCCCCGCCCCCAAGCACTTAAATGGTCCCTGTATAGAAATACCTCTCTCACCTATTGTTATATATTCTTTAGAGCATCCAGACATGCTTTGCTTTGAAATTCCTCCTAATACTATTGTTAAGCAAAGATTCATTTGATAATTTTTCCCATATAGAACTACAGTTGCATGCTGTAACCATACTATAAATTCTTAGAATAATATCAGCATCATTTGTCTTTCTGTGACCACTGACATGGAAAGGGATACTTATGACTGTTCATGAAATTATACTCTGGATCAGGCCCCAGGGCTGAGACAGAAATTAATCACTCTCTCTTTAGAAGGGTCAAGTTTAGGGATGTTGAAGTACCAATTAAAACATATGCTCCTTTTATGGCATCTTAATGTTCTAAGAGATTAAAGTACATTCAATAACATATTCCCACTTCACTGTTAGGTCAAATCCAAGGCGAGCATGTACTTAGATATGTAACCCAGTTTCAGTCTGAATCAGACCTGCTTCTCACCTCCTGAGGGAAGCTCTCCGGAGAGCTGTGGAGACAAATGAGGATCGGACTTACCTTTCTGCAAGAGAAACACTCCACAGCGCTGCTTCATTCTCTTGAAAGGGGTCAGAAAGTTTCCTTAAAGACTAGACAGAGGGCCTCAGTTTCCCCGTAACAACATTTTCTTTTGAGTCTCCTGGGGAAACGTGCATAGGAAAATATTGTATTTGGCAACAAGTTTAGGCTGTTGGCAGTGGAGATAATAGTTGTTGCTTAGACTTGAGCAGTACAAAGAAGATGTGGAGGGAAATTCTCTAACTGTTAAACACACATTATACAGTCTTATGCACAAGAGAAGTCAGGATCGCGATGTGCATGAAATCCTACTTAGAGAGTGATTTCTGTCTCCATAAAGTACCTGTGCAATATTTTGTGTTTTTTAAAGAAGTTTTATTTATTTTCAGAGAGAGAGGGAGAGAGAAACAGTGGTGTGAGAGCAAAACATTGAATGGCTGCTTCCAGATTGACCCTTCGGTGCACGGGACATCACTTCAACCAACTGAGCCACACTGGCCAGGGCCACTTGTGCAATATTTTTAAATTTAACTCTTAAAGTGGATTTAACTCGGTGATACTTTGTGTTACTCTCATTAAAATGATATCTCTCCTAATGCTAAGAAAAATCTGAAAGTTCCTCAGCAATCCTCACCAACAAGCAGAATACATGCAAGAAAGACAAGCTCAGTTCCAATGTTTCTATTTTTTTTTAAATTCTATACTTTCTATGTCTACAGGAGGAGAGAAAAGGATCAGGCAGACACCTCTCTGCATCTGCTCCCAAATGCTTCAGAGCTTTGTGGAGATCTGAAGAATCAATGAGATTCTCTTAAATGTTATGGATAATATTGCTATTTTCTCCATTACTGAACTACATTTCTAGATTCCAATGCCATTAACCTTCCAACCAAAACCAAACTTCTTCATAATTCCAGGAGTTCTTTATTGGGGGAACACTAACTGCTAGTATCCCTCAATGGAACAAGTAGGTAATATCTGTGCAAGCACATTTGCTTCTTAGTGTAATGATGGCACAGTTTGGACTTCAGAATTGTGCTGAATCCATGTACAAGGTAATCCCAAAGCTGATGATTGTAGAAGTAAGGTGGAAAAGTGTTCATTTTACCTTGATTTTTCATGAGCTTCTCGTGTAAAAGAATCTGGAAGCTAAGTAATAAAGTATTGCATTGAAAATAAAAAGTATCAGCCCAGGTGCAAATTATATATTGTTAATTGATTACCCAATTTTAATCTTGACATAAATATTTAATGATTTAATAATACTGGTATATATTTATATACTTAGAATATATATTTATAAAACATAATATACACACATATAAAACATGTATATTAAAACTAGAGGAAAACTGAACATTCCTCTTTTCTTTAAAAATATATATTTTTTTTATTTCAGAGAGGGAGAGAGAGAAACATCAATGATGAGAGAGAATCATTGATCACCTGCCTCGTGCATGCCTCCTAATGTGGATTGTGTTGCTCTCATTAAAATTATATCTCTCTCAATTCCAAGAGAAATCTTTAAAGTTCCTCAGCCCCGACCAGAAAGCGAACCATGACCTCCTGGTTCATAGGTTGACGCTCAACCACTGGGCCTCACCAGCAGGGTGAACAACCCTCTTTTGAGTAAATTACAGACAACACAGATATCTCTGTGTACAAGTCTCAAAACAGTAATGTCTTACATTTGTGTAGGGCTTCAAGGTTTACAGAGCACTTTTGCCAACATTGACTCCTTTTCTCTCACTCATCAGATTTCAGGCAACAGATGGCTTTTAGCTCTTTGGATCATAGCTTCTCTGAGCCCGATGGCCCCCATAGGCGCTGGGAATGGGGTTGGTTCAGAAAGGTCACTAAGGAGGTTTGGCAATGTGCATGTCTGCCCTGATAACTCCCCTTGTTCTGTAGGTGGGAGGCCACCCCGTGGACCGCGTGCTCCTCCTCGTGTGGGGGGGGCATCCAGAGCCGGGCAGTTTCCTGTGTGGAGGAGGACATCCAGGGGCATGTCACCTCAGTGGAAGAGTGGAAATGCTTGTACACCCCTAAGATGCCCATCGTGCAGCCCTGCAACATTTTTGACTGCCCTAAATGGCTGGCACAGGAGTGGTCTCCGGTAACTGTGCCTTCTTTCTTTATTCATTAAGAGAATAAGTCCACTCTTCCCTCTCATCACTGTGCCCCCACCGGCTACCCTGTGCAGCTCCCTACTTCTCCTCTTAAGGTGTTTAGAAATCTACAATTTTCTTCTGGAGTAGGCATGCCCCAAAGCCAAGGAATGAGTAAATCTATATCCATACCTTTCTTCAAGTTTCTTCAAAAAGCCTCTACCACCTCCATGTTCCTTCAAGGACAAGGAGGCACATGTTTGTCAAGAGTAAGTGAGGCCAAATGACTATTCCTGAATCAGTGAAAGAGCTCAGTAGACCTAAAGTTTGGTTTCTTTTTTTATTTCTTATCCTTTCTCTATTACCCAAAAGGAGATTGAGTGGATTGAAATTAAAGCTATGTATATATCATCCATTGAAAAAAATGCAGTAAAAATCACAAAATAACTGGAAGAGATAAAGTAGAATAGCTAAAACAAATACATTCTAGATATTAGGAAAGGTGCTGCACCAGCTTAAACAAAATTATTTGTATTTAGGGTTTCCTGGCTGCCAATGTCAAAAGGTCTGAAGTAGCAAGGGAGATAGAAAGATGGGGGGACAAACCATTATGCCCTCAGCCACAGAGATGGCAAAAGACTTTTCATTTTAGCTAAGTGGCTTCGTGGCAGCAGATCCCAGCTGTGACATTTCTCTTTTTCTGTCCTTGCTCCCAGGCTTATAGAACTACTGAGGTGTTGCCTACATCTGGCCATTGAATCCTTTCCTTTAAACACTTTTCTCCTTGTCAGTATAATCAATTGGATCAGCCATGCTGCAATATAAATTAACAGTGATGACAGTTAAAAAAAAAAAAAAACTTTCTATGTCTATGTCAGAGCTAGCATTTCCCATATTTCGGACCTAACAATCATTAGCAAAGGGACTTACTAATATTAAAATGCATTGTTAGTCATCGAAATTGAGCACACTCTCTACACTTCTCTAGTTTCTTCTCTCCTTTTTGCTGCTTGGTTCGGGACTTTGCACACAGTGGGTGTTGAAGGAATGCTGATTGAGTAATCCAAAGCTAAGTGATTGCATTTTCAGCCAGCTGCACCCTAGATAGCCCAGTAGCATAAAGACCCTATGATGGGTAAGAAGTGGTATAAATTCATCAGGAGTCCTTATACACACAAGCAGCCCTTTGAACAACCTCAGTGGGAGGTGCAGAAGAGAAAACAAAGCTTTGCCTGTGAGTCTTCTCTCTCTCTTGCGTTCTCCTTTCAGTGCACGGTGACATGTGGCCAGGGCCTCCGGTACCGCGTGGTTCTCTGCATCAACCCTCGAGGAATGCACACGGGAGGCTGCAGCTCCAAAACCAAGCCTCACATCAAAGAGGAATGCATCATACCCACCCCCTGCTATAAACCCAAAGGTAACTTGGCAGGTGCTCTGTAATCAAGCTTTTTAGTCTGTGTACTCGGCTGCTGTCTTAATGTCCTTAGACTATTGTTAAGTATCCCATGTGTTCTTAGTAACTATGCTTTGTAACTTAGACTCTACTAAATGGGTTTAACTTTAAAAAAAAATCTTTTCCAATAGTCTTGCTTGCAAATTGTTATAAAGCACTACATACTTATATGATGCTCTCCTGAGTCATAGGTTGTTTGAAGACTGTTGCTGAAGAATATCAGATAGATCTGCATGCAAGGAGATTATAGAGATATTGTAGAAATATGAGTCGTTTACTGTCCACATTGTTGGCTGTTAAAAGCAATGCAGTGAATTCTAAGTGTCCATTTTGCTAAGCAGAAAATACATTGGGAAGCCTCAGACTTCAAACAGATGAAACAGAAAGCTATTGCTTTTCATATTAAAAATCAACACATTATTAATGTAGTGGACTCCAGAAACATAATTTGAAATGAAACATTGAAATAAATTAGAATTTAATAGATGCTGCAAATAATTTTAAAAAGTAGGTTTTAGAACAGTTCTACCTAGTGAGCAAGATTTATTACACTTATACTGGACTGCTCAGATTAGCTTGAATATTAATCTTACTTCTCTGCTAATATTGGTAGAGTCTATGTCAATGAAGTAGACAATTCCAAAGTCACAAACCATGCAGAAGTAAAGAACTTTTTATTGCAAGCTTCCTCCTATTTTTAATATTGAATAGGATTCCTATTTTCTTCTTAATTTGTTTTCTTAAGCCATTAAATTTCTCCAAAAATCAGCCATTATAAAGCTCTTTATTATACTACAGTTTGCCCTTGGTAAGAATGAATGGCATAGTAAAATCTAAATTAATGATATAAAGGAAAACCAAAAAGCAAATGCATCCTGGAAATCCTGATCAATTTTAATTTATCACCTCTCTCTGTAAGCCTTAGTTTCATCTGTAAAATGGGAATAACAACAATAACCCCCTCAGGATCATATGGAGATTAAATGAGATATAGTGCAAACAGGATGCTTAGCTCACTGCCTAGGATGAAGTAGGTGTTCTATAAATGTTATCTTGACTATCATTAGCATCCTTATATGTGGGAGGAAGTGGCCACTGGTACATCTGACAGGATTCAGTTCAAATAGGCAGTCAAGTATAACAAGCCCAATATTAGTGCCAAGCTGAATGCTTCGTTATTGAAAGACAGGGATAGCTCATGCTGTCAGAGATGGCATCATCGAGTCAATTAGCTGGAAGATTGGACTGGTTGTTAAATGATGGTTAAACCCTCAATTTTGCAGACCGCTATTTAACAGAATAACAGTCTGTAAGTCATATGTGAAATTAACAAATTGTTAATTTAAAAATGTTTTTAATCAATATTTGCTTATTTAAGTTAACAGGTTATTTTTTGCTATTGTTATTCACTGTTATTTTTAACAAATTTTAAAAATTTGTTGGGAAAAACGCTGTAGTAATTTCACCAAATGTAAATAAATATTACATATCTACAACTGTAGTTTACATATGTGAATCCAAGGTTCACCGCTCATAAACAGTGTTTGGCAAACAGCATGTGATCACACCGCATCACACAAGGTAATTGGTTCTGTTGCCATGTGGCATGACTTTTGCAGCAGTTTTAACTGGTGCCAGCCCAGGTGCCCACGTGTGCTAAGTCACGTCCCAGCCGTGTGCATTCGTTAACTCACAGTGACTGGTGAATGCACACATTTACTAGACCTATTCAGAATACGTTTAAAATTACAGTAATACGTATAGAAAACTTTTCTGTGAAATTGAACTTTTCACCCATACTGAATTTTTATTACACAGATGTATCTACATAACTAAACACAGGTAAATTAAGTGGCCAATTTTTTAACAGACAGATTCAGAAAAACCTACTTTATTGGCTTTTTGCTTTAACAGACACCCCCTTGCCCGAATCAGTCTGTTATATCAACGTTTTAGGGTATATAGGTTCCGTATTTCAGAGTCTAAGATGTTAGCCAGTCTTTTGGGCTATGGCAGTTTTATATTTCTCACTCGCTTTGTTTTCTGAGCATAAACAATTGCTGCACAAGAGGACAAGAAGGGGTGCCCTAACTTAAAATAGTCATTAGTCACTAGCTCTGTCTTTACCAAACCACTTCAGAAAAAGAAAAGCAGTTTGTGGTTAAGTATCGAAAATAAAATCTGGATTTTCACAGCTAAGTAGTGAGTCTGGCTCTACTTAAGCATCATTAAAATGCTATATAATTCTATGGTGTATGCCCCTATAGACATTTCTTTCATCTTTGCAATTATATGTTATAAAATGGTGATAGAGCTTCACTGGCTTATACTATAAAGCAAATATGCCTATAAATGACCCTCATAAAATATGTCAGAATGGAAATCTTGGCAGTTACTTCTGTAGGAGCAGTTTTAATCTTCCTCTTTCTTTTTATCCACAATTTCTCCCCAGGAAGTAGTTAGGAAGCTTGTTCTGGATTGTTTGGCCAAAGCTACAGAAATAGGTGAAACAAGTCAAAATTATGGGTTATCATCCTTCAGTTGCTCATATTCCAATTGTCAGTGAGCCTGGGGGTGTATAGTGAATGAATCGGATAGCTAAAGCAATGGTTTGTAAATATCAGAGTGGCAGTTCTGTTTGGCTTTGACAATATGGCATAAATCACACTCAGACAAAGGCAAAAGAAAAGCAAATTAGAATATATGAAAGTAACACAGTATAATTTTTTGTAGCTTATTTTGTTTTAAAAGGTAAATATTGGCCAAAACCGGTTTGGCTCAGTGGTTAGAGCCTCGGCATGTGGACTCAAGGGTCCCAGGTTTAATTCCAGTCAAGGGCATGTACCTTGGTAGCAGGCACATCTCCGGTGGGGGGTGTGCAGGGGGCAGCTGGTCGATGGTTCTCTCTCATTGATGTTTCTAACTATCTATCTCTCTCCCTTCCTCTCTGCAAAAAAATCAATAAAATATATTTTTTAAATAAATTAAAATAAAAGGTAATAAAAATAAAAGATATTGCTCTGTCTTTTCAACAGAAAATAGTGAATAGATACTTTGATGATATATTGAGTTAGTGCTCCTAGAGTTACAACTTTCATAATTAAAAAAAAAAAACTTTTTTTTTGCTCTTTAACATAATAAGGAAGAAACATACACAGTGTTATTAAACGTGTTAAAATTTTTTTTTCTTGATATAATCATCATCAGAGGCAGAAATTTACCTAAAAACATTATTTGCCGTTATCAGCAGAGCTTGTGGGTAGTGCAAACTCAAGAGCTAGTGGGGGGCAGGGAGATGCATTTCCCTGAAATCCCAAATGGGTTCTAACCTCTTCTCTTTTATGTTCATACATTTAATTCTCAGAGAAAGTTCCGGTAGAAGCCAGGGCGCCGTGGTACAAACAAGCTCAAGAGCTGGAAGAAGGAGCTGCTGTGTCAGAAGAGCCCTCGTAAGTGTGAAAACCACAAGTTTTTTTGCTCTTGAGGCCGATGGGGGTGAAGAAGGCCATGCCTGGCTGGCTGTGGCTTTCACAGGTTCTGGACTAAGTGCAGCCCTCTCACCAAGCGTGAAATGAGGCTCTGGGGCTGGCAGCTTGGGGAGCCATCAGTTTCAAATGCTTCTCAGAAGCTCTATATACTTTCCATTTTGAAGAAAACAAAAGAGTAGTGCCTATGCTATTCTCTAAAACCTGACCTCCTCTTTCCCAAGAGGCCAAAAAGTGACAAGGCCCAGCTGACGATGACATAGATTTGAGGTAGAAGCCTGGGCAGCTTTCACATTCTTTATCACTCAACTTTGCAATGTAACCACTCAAAAAAATAAAAGGCCAAGTGACATATATCTGAGAGCACAGGAAGTTTATTAGCATTTCCTTTCTCATTCCTGCTATCAAATGGATACCAGGTCTTTGCCTCACTTGATCACAGTGTCATTCCTGCTCAGTTTTTTCAATGCCATGACATTTGTGAGACCACTAGGCACAGATTTTTCACAGAAAAGGCATGGTTCATCCATCAGGTAACACATTTCTTATTTCTCAGGACAATAAGCAAAACACAGATTCCTTCTGTACTACAGAGTTACTTCAGCACCTTTTTCTACTTCTTGGAAAGAATGCCTAGCCATTGTAGAGTTTTGGAGGAAAGGCAGAGGCTAAAGGTCACAGGGCCACGTTTTTATTTTCCTTTCTCTCCTGCCAATACCTGGTTTGACAGGCCTTCTTGCTGCTGAAGAGGGAAAAAGCAATTCATTTTAGATGAGTATTAAGTCTTTAATCCACGAAGGTCCTAGCTAAGACTCCACATAATTGGAGCCAGTTACTCCTTAAATATACTCTTCTGTTAAATATTGAAAATCAGGTATGTATTATTTTACATAATAATATCTGCTCTCCTATTCACTCTATTTTGTCACTTAGACCAAATAGAATACATGGAATATTGCATCATGAACCATGTTAAGTAGTACAACAAAGTTAAAATTAAATCCAGACGTCTTGCATCAGTAATTAAACATCCTTCTCATTATTAGATACCTCTCAAATGCAGGCTGTAAGAAGCATTACCTATGGTCAACCATATTTTGTACTGAGTATTTTCCACTAAAGGTCTGTTTTAAGATGCATTACGTTTAACTTTCATCTTAATAAAATTCCTAAAGTAGTTAAACATATACTTTTAGCCACTGGAACTCCAGCCATATATTGGATTATTAAATTTTACTCACAGCATAATGGAATTGCCATATTGGCATGATTAATCTGAACTGAAGTTGATTGTAATTGGAGTGCTGGTGCCAGGTACAGGAAATGTATACTGTTATGCTCAGAACAATTACTTTTATGCCAAAATGAAATAAATGACAGCTTTAGGATAATGTAGTGAAAGGTATATGGTTTCCACACTTTAATACACTTTACTTGTTCAGTGCCCTGAACCTCAGGAAAGGCCCAACGTGTCACATAATATTTTTTATTGATTTTGAATTTAAAAAACATAATTTTGCATGGGCTTAATTCTTTCTCTCTCTTTTTTGACCACATGACTAGTTTCTAACTGTATGTAGCAACCTATAATTACTCTCCATAGTATAATGAAAAAATGACATACTGTCAGCAAGTCTTCTCTCCTCACACCAATGAGACTCGCATTGCTTAAATTAAACTATAATGTTCAGAGGCTGTGGCTGTCACTTCTGCAACAGAGATGCAGGAACAGTGGCCCAGAACTATTATCTCTCACACCGGCTCCAGTTAACCTAGACAATTCTGTAGTGAAACAGCAAATATCACTTATTTCCCCTTATTTAAAATAAAACCAGTATCACTAGCTTGTCTCATTAAATAATGTAAGGAAAGTCTTCAGTATATGAAGATATAATTATTGAATGTTAGATATTTTTGGTAACCCCCAAATGAAAGGAAAAAAAAATTGGTTAGCACTCTGGCCAGAAATATGTTGGAAAGCAACCACTGTAAGATATGACCTGCCAAGGAATAACTAAAATTTTCTAGAACAGAGTTTTGTGCTGGTAGTGCTATTTCACTAAACTGACACTCTGCAAAAGATGCAAATACAGATGTCAGTCTCCTGGGAAGGCTGAACTAAGTACTGAGATTGGTTCATGTTGTGGCAACGTACTTAATATATTGAGATCCCTGTTATCAAGCTGCTGCCTCATTCAAAAATTCTTTCAGGCATTGATTGCTTTTTCTTCAGCAACAAACTGGTTTATTTATGCCACACTTGATTTATATGGTCCCAAGGAAGGAGTGTAGTAACGAATGCATTGCCTTGACATCAGAATTGATTTCCTAACCCACTTGTGGGAGTCAGACCCTCTAAACTGATTTTTCACTGGTGGCCATGGTTTCCCTTGCCTCAGGCACATGTTTTTATCAGGTTTGCCTGGCAAACATCAGCAAGCATGTTTCAGCAAGGTAGTTTTGATTCTCTCCACTGAACAGGACAGTGTGAACAAGGTCCAACCCAAACCAACCCTAAGCAATGTGAGATGTGAGCCAATAAAGTCGGTCAAGCATAGACGATCTTATAAATAAGATGTCCTTGCTTCTGAGGATGTCCGCTGGGGAATCCATAGAAATCCCTGCTACCCGATTCACACAGAGAGAATTGTGATTAGAGATAAACTAAGCAGATTTGGGAGTGTTGCATTTTTCTGAAGAGAAGAGGGTGCCATTCTAGCACTAGAAAGAGGGAGATGGACTATGACTAATGGACTTCTCCTCTGATTTGAACTCTTTCTGAATTTGCGTCCAGATGATTTGAGTATTGTTAGGTTTAGAAGCATGTCATATAAAATACCAGATTGAGCCCAGCTGATGGCCTCCTCTGACAAATAGGTGGGAGTTGCCTTCTAGGGATATTTTTTTTCAAATCCTCAAAATTTTACTTTTATTTGGTGAGAGATCCAAACTACAGATCTACTACTATGTGGTAGAAGAGTTATATTTATGAATCAGATTGGAGATAAAGAAATTATCGACTTGAGTTCTGACCTTTTTTCTCCCTTACTTTCAGTCTTTGTTGAGATGGAAGTGTAAACCACCTCAAGCCAAGTGAACGTTATGAATACTTTGACAGTTTAATTTCTTTTTCCTTATTTTTAATCCTTATCCAAGGATTAAGGATATTTTTTCCATTGATGTCTAGAGAGGATGGAAGAGAGGGGGGTCAGAGAAAAAAGAGAGAAAGGGAGAGGGAGATGGAGAGGCAACACATTGATTGCCTCCCAGGTCTGTGCATTTGACCAGCAATCAAACCTGTGACTCTCTGGTGTGCAGGATGATACTCTAATTACTGAGCAATGCCAACCAGGGTAAGAGCTTAATTTCTTGAGCAAAAATGACACTATGGTGACCTCTAGAACATGAAAAGACACAGTTCGTCTACTATTGCTGTACAGGGAGTTAATAAACTGGCCATTTTAAAAAGCCTAATCTAACTAAAAGAAATTATTCATTTCCTTAACTCCTCAGGCCACGAAGGCCACCAATGCCCTACACAGTGTCATCTGTTAAGGAGGCAGATGTAAGGAAAAGGTATGGCCTGGATACTCCAGATGCTCAGCGTTCTCTCTCCAGGCTTTCTGCTCTCCCAGCGAAGAGGCAGGGAGGACTGACTAAGTGGGCAACTAGGTAGCAAGGTTCCTCCAAGAATTACTAGTATTTCAGATGCTGGGAGTTCTGCTTAGGTGGCTCAGAACAAGCAAAGGTGATTCCTTTGGGCACTACATGATGAGCCTAGCCATTTGTCCAGCCATCCTTCCAGCAAATCCTGGTACACAGGTGGAAGGCCATTAACGGTGCCATCCTCTTGAAAGTAGGATTGAGTGGTCCCGTGTGCCTTGAGCTTGCATTTAAGAAATCTTGAAATTAAGAAATCTTGAGTTATCTTGCTCAATTTTCAGTTAGCAGCTTTACTACAGGTTAGGAAACATTCAGCACAGTATGCAGGCCTTACACATATTGCCATAAATAACCCTAGTGTGAGCCATTCCAAAAAAGCAGAGGAAGGAGGCAAGCGAGCAGGCAGAAGGCAGCAGTAATATCTGGATGCCAGATGGCATCAGCTTAGCGATGGGGCTGATTCAGTAAGAAGCAAAGGGAAATTCCTGCCATGCTTCTGTGTGAACAGAACCCACAAGGAATTAGGCCCAGAAAGAAAAGCTGATAGAGTCACCATGGTGATCCTGTAGTCCTGAAATGCCTTGTTTGCCTTGTTGGAAATACATTTAGATGTATAATATTTAAGTATATGTTTATATTAATCTGTATTTGTATCCAGTGAGTTGTCTGAGAGTGTGGATGGTTTAACTCGGTAGTTGAGAATGTGAATTTATATTTTAAGAGGAAAAAAATGTGCCTAGAAATGTCAATTATGTGACATGTGTTTTTCCCTCAAAAAATATTTAGGGAATCAAACATCCATAATATATCCAGATAGTTTGGTATTTTTTATATCTTCACAAGGTGACTGAATTACATTCTCTTTGTGAATCTCAGGCCACAGAAAATAAAAGGACTATTTTATATAAATTTTTAGGAATCAAGAGTCATCTCACCTAAGATCGAGAAATTTAAACACTATTTGCAGATCATTAAACCAACATAAAGTAGGTTTGAGCAGTACATAGTTGTGCATTAGAATCACAAGATTAAAAAAGCACACAAAAGCATTTTATTTTGAGGACTGGCATGTGGCAGAGCTAAAGCCTCCCCCTGGCCAGACAGAAGCAGCCCTTACACCTGCAGTAGTAGTGACCTCTCACTTCCAATTCCTTCCTTTCTTACTGGCCTCCTCCCCATCTACCCAATCTTTCTCATCCAGTATATCCTCTGCAGCAGTAGAAAGTTTAATGTAAGTTTTCTGGCTGATTATGTGTTTTAGATGACTCAGGAAAGTCACTGGACCTGCTAATTGTTCATAC